TCTAAAGGATCCTTATATGGTTGAATGGTATTTTCCTCGTGCTCAAGCAACCGTGAGACCTCTTCTGTAATCTCATCATAATCTTCTTCTTCGGCCCTAAACACAGGACATTCAAAGTTGGGAGAGGGTGCAGGGTCATTGTATTCAACGGGTTTTTTAATTAATCTGCATATATGATTTATGATTGCTTTTAGAAACTGACATATATAACAAGTGATCATGCATATTGATTTTCAGTTATTATTTATTTTGAAAGGTTTTTTTTTAATTTTTTTATTACCATTTTCCAAGAAAAAGATAAAAATAAAAACATAATTCGGGAAGCAAAGACAACTTTATTAATGATCTTAAAAGTCATAGCAAACAGAGAAGCCCTACAACATTAATACTTCCACCTTGGGCAGAGTGAAAGCTTTTTTAAGAAAAAAGAGATTAACAAAACAAATTACTTTGAAACATGTATGCAAGAAGGAACATCAATGGTGACCCAGTTCTGAACCCTGACTCCATGTGTCACATAATTTGACACTTTCTGCTCTGCTTTATCCTCTTCAGCAGCATTAATTCCAGAATCAATTGGATGAAGGTAGCCTCCGCTGCGGAAAACATCATGATAACTTTTCATAGTAGACTTTGGCTTCAAACTTTCGCATTTGCTATTCTTCGAAGAGAAACCCAAACCAGTTCTATTCTTGTTCACGGGTGGATCCACAATTCGTCCCCAAACTGTATTATGACCATTGCACACAACCTGTTGCGCGTCCTTTAGCGAAACCACAGAATTCTCATTTCTCCTTATGTTGTCAATGGATAGGGCTTGGAACTGGGTTCCAACAGCAGCCTCATCCGCTTTTATGATACTGAAAGAGGACAAATGGGATACCAACAATGGCTCATCCCCATTTATGATCACCACCTTCCCTTCATGCACAAACTTTAGCTTCTGATGTAGAGTTGAAGTGACAGTCCCTGCTTCGTGTATCCATGGCCGTCCTAGCAAACAACTATATGCGGGAATATTGTCCATGACCTGGAAGGTTATCTGGAACAAATGTGGTCCTATATGGATGGGTAAGTCCACTTCACCGATGACAGATTTTCTCGACCCATCAAATGCTTTCACAATGATGCCACTCAGGCGCATAGGTGCTCCTTGATACTTTAACTTCATGAGAGTACTCCTCGGTATAACATTCAACGCAGATCCATTATCAATTAGCACATTGGATAGCGATTATTCTTGCAATTCATAAATATGTGGAGGGCCAGGTTGTGATTCCTCCCTTCATCTGGTAATTCATCATCGCAGAAACTCAAGTTATTACATGACGTAATGTTTCTAATTATACTGCTGAATTGATCTATTGGCATGTCACTCTCAATAAAAGCTTGGTCTAGTACCCTCATCAATGATTCTCTATAAGAAGAGGAGTTCATCAATAAAGCTAGGATAGATATCTTTGAAGGAGTCTGCAGTAGTTGATCTACAATTCTGTAGTCGCTCATCTTGATTATCTTTAAAATACCATCCACTTCTTTCTCTAATGTAGCTCCACTAGTATCTCCTATAGCCTTCTTAGGTTCATCATTCTCAGCAATTTTCTTTCCAGCAACAATATCTCTTCGTACAACGGGTGCAAACACACGACCGATATGGGTCACCCTGCTATTTTCAGCTATATTTCCAACATCGGGCATCGGCTGGATGGGAACTTCCACCCCATCTTATAAGGTTGTAGCGTTGTATTTTTAAGGCACAGTCTTATCTGATTTGTAGGGAATAGGACCTGGCAAACTAATTACCAATGGGGTAACAACTGGTTTGCTATGGTACTCAACTTCAAGATGAGCGGGTGCACCAAAACAAGGCACAATGACGTTTACCCCTTCTTCAACATAATCAGTCATCAAAAAGTCATTTCTGGGAAACGAATCTTCATCTGAAGAGAAAAACTCATCTGCGGAGGCATACTCTTCCTCTGACTCTTCTTCCGTTAAGCAAACTTCAATCATATCAATCTCATGATAATCATCCCTCTGACCTGTGATCTTGATAGTTCCGTTGTCTAACAGCAACTGAACAACCTCCCTCACAATTGAACATCCTCGGGGATCTCGAAAGAAAACTAGGCAAGATCCATATTGGTGTTCCACCTAGCCAGCAGTATGGCAGAAGGAAGCATGCAACTGCAAAGATCCTCATTCAAATACTCCACATCAAAAATGCTGAATTTTCCAGGACATCCAGAAACCATATTCACCTCCTCTTCATATTCTTCTATAGGCCTGATTATATGGATTAAACCCACATCCATCATCTCCTGTAAATCAGCCTTTATCTTCTCGCAACCCTGTATATCTGTACTGCAAATAGCACAACTGGCGTAGTCATGCGTATAGTAGCTGAATTCAGAGGTCTGCATGCATTTTCACCAAGTCTCCTCTAACCAGATTAATGTCAAAAATTCGGAAGTCGCCTGGACAACTGGCCACCATATTTATAGCATTTACTCCCCCGTGCTTGGGTAGAGGATTATCTTTCATATTAGGTCCCATGTCCTTAAAAGATAGAATTCCAGACTTCACCAACTTTTGCACTTCAGTCTTCATAGGATAACAATTCTCAATATTATACCCTAGTGCTCCTTGATGAAAAGCACACGTTTGGTCTGCCTTGTAATACCAAGGCAATGGTGACGGTACGACGGAAGGTGGTCGGATTTGAACCAACTTCTTCTGAATCAACGCCGGTAGTAGCTCTGCATAGCTCATGGGAATAGGGTCATATTTTTCCCTTCTTTGATTATTCCCTTGGTTCCCTTGCTGGGACGGTCTTTGATAAGCAACAGTAGTCGGAGCGACATTCATCACAGGAGTAACTGAGGTGACTTGCTGGTGACGCTGATAATTCCTTCTAGAAGCGTTTACCCTCCTCTCTTGTATAACAACATTTGCGTCCCCTTCTTTCTTCTTGGTAAACCCATAAGATGGTTTCTTCACACCTCCGGATCCTTCACTCTTTGTTAAATGGCCTTCTCTTAAAGCCTCTTCTAAGTGGATACCCATTCCTACCATCTCAGTAAAGTCACTTGGTGCGCTTGCTACCATCCTTTCATAGTAGAAAGCTCCCAGCGTCTTCAGAAAAATCTTAGTCATCTCATTCTCTTCCATGGGAGGAATCACTTGGGCAGCTACTTCGCACCATCTCTACGCATACTCTTTGAACGATTCCCTGTTTTTCTGAACCATGGCCCTAAGTTGGTCACAGTCGGGTGCCATGTCCATATTGTACTTGTATTTTTTGATGAATGCTTCTCCCAAGTAATTTAAAGTATGGATGTTCATGATGTCCAAACTCATATACCACTTCAACGCAGCACCGATCAAACTATCCTGAAAAAAGTGAATCAACAGACGCTGATCATCAGTATGGGTAGACATTCTCCTCACGTACATTACCAAGTGAGCACGAGGGCAAGTGTTACCCTTATACTTCTCAAATTCTGGGACCTTGAACTTAGCAGGTATCTTAACATTCGGGACCAAACATAGCTCATTCACATTCTGCCCAAATAGCTCTTTTCCCCTAAGAGCCTTCATCTCTCTTTGCATTTTATCAAATTGCTCTTGAAAACCATCCATTTTATCATAGAGACCCAAGTCTTCATTCGTCGGAGGGAAAGGAAGACACACATCATCATTAACAAATGGAACCATGTTTACCAAAGGAGGTCTAGCAGGAACAACATGCACCACAGGAGGTGCCGGAGTAACAACAGTCTGAACCACTAGAGTATCTTGAGGACCAAGATTTAAACCTTAAGGTGCAAAATTCTCTGGCATTCCCCATGGATAACCTTGAGGCATACGGTTTTGAATAACACTCGGAGTAGCAGATATAAGAACAGTCGGAACTTCAGTATTTGCCCTTATTGGTTGAGGTTGAACACTCGGTGGCTGATTCTGAGCAACCACCAGAGCTTCCATCAGAGTAGTCAAATTGGTCAAGCCGATCTTCAAAGCAGAAACTTCTTCGCGCAGCTCGCGATTCTACTGTTCTAAGTTGTCCATCTTCTTTTTGAAATTAGCCCGAGTGTTGTAGTGATGAGTCAGCTTGCTGAATAAAGTAAAGAAGCTTGGTAAGACACCTGGGTATGCATAACAAATGCAAGAAATATGCGTAATATGATGCATGATATGCAATGCAGATGACTATTTTGTTATTTAATATTTAAAGGGATTTACGGTTTATAGACATATTGAAAACATCAAAATAATAACGCATTTGAAATACTGAAATTTTTTATTATAATAACTTCAAAATGGATTACAAGTTTCAATGATCCCAAGTACAAGATGAGAATACAATCTAAAATTCTGAGAAAAAGAACTGATGGAGATCAATCTGTACGCTGGCGCTTCTCTGTGAGCTTGGCAATCTGAGTCCTCAACCTCTGGTTTTCTTCCACATATCTGATGGCAACCTCCTTCCAATCATCTGAATCAGGAAGTGAGTAATCAGCACCTGTTTGAGGCTTAGGGGAAAATAAATCCCCTTGCCTCTCCATAGACTCCACCGTTTGACTCTCAAGGATCTCAATCAAATTGTCTTTCTCCTTTAAGTCTGCTTTATAGAAACTCTCTAAAGTCTGGAACTTGTTCTTCCAAGCATCCCTTTCCTGTTGCATCCTGACCAAAGCGAGTTGCGACTCTTCTACATCATCCAATAAGGGAGGAGTGGTCTTCACAAATAGATCAGGCATGGGTGTCTCCCGAGTATAATACATCTTTAACTAAATAGCTCTCAATCGAATCCATTGGAGATATGGCTCCAAAGAAACAACACCCCTAGGTCCCAAATCCTTCCTACTCTTCTTATGAATGTGACGCCAGACCTTCACAATCTGATCCCTAGCTTCCCTATGGTCTTCTCCTTCCTTCAGAAAGAAACTACTTAAATGGATACTATTCGGTTTATCCCTCACCGGATAACCAAGTTGTCACAGTGCAAGAACACGGTTATAGTTAATTCCTCCCTTTGTACCAAGAAGCGGTACATTGGGGAAACTACCATAATTGTCAATAATCTCTACGTCCTGGTAAGCTCGATGATACCAATCAATATCCGAGTGAGTAAGTGCCATGATCTTTGGAGCCCAATGGGGTTCCTTCTTGACATCCCAAAAAGCATCAGACCGAGGCATATGAGAAATGAACCACCGGTACAATAGAGGCGTGCAACAGATAATCATTCCCCCATGATAATAATTCCGAATATGAACAGAATAATAAGCATCACCCAATAGTGTAGGAACTGGGTTTCCAATCATGAAAATCCTGATAGTGTTAATGTCGACAAACTTGTCCACATTAGGAAATAAGAACAATCTGTAAGCAAGTAGAGCAAAGATTGTCTCAAAAGCAACTGTACTCTTCATTCTGGAAAAGTAACGAGCTATCTCCAATAAGAACTGAGTTGGTAATCCTCTAATCCCTCCTTTAGTAGTCATATGGGCTTCCACCTCAGACTTCCCCAGATGAATCAAAGTAGTAATCTCATGTGGTTTTGGCTCACCCTCTAAACCAGTAAAAGGAACACGATTGATAACGGGTAAATCCAGTAGATAAGAATACTCCTCCAGTGTAGGCATCAACTGATAATCGGGAAAAGTAAAGCAGTGATACATCAAATCATAGAAATGGACCAAGGTCGAGAGAATACCCTCCTCCATCTTCAACTTCATGAGAGGAATAATGGATCCATACTTCTTCCGAAAGTCTGTAGATTACTCGATTTCTGGAATTAGACTGACCAACTCATCTATCTTGGGATCCTTGAAACTGTATTTCCCGGTCTTTCTCTTTCCAGAATCCATGGTTAAAAGTACCTGAGATATTCACAAATAGTCAACCTTTAAATCCCTTGAAATGTTGTTTTCTTCAAAAGATGCTTATGAGTGCATGGATGTATGATGCAACAATCACATACAAGATCATACATATAGGGTTCATAGGTTCAATTTCACGAGCATGAGGTCGAAGGTACTACCCATAAGGTGTTGGTCTAAAAAGTTATCACCTACCGAACAAGGTTCTAGAGGTTCCCAGAGTCTACATCATTCCTTCGGATACTACCAACTTCCTGATTAACTCGGTAATTAGTAATATTCTCAAGAAAGACTCGTCTGAGCGTAGTATCGCGTGACAACTATTTCTGGATTACTCCGTCATAGCTTCCGCACTACACCTAAGTGGCCAAGTTGGGTTTGGTATTCTACGGTCCTCAGTTTCAGCAAGCTCCCAGGTCAAAAGCAGTACATCTTGCCGATTACTCGGTAAATGACACTACAATCAAAGGGGCCTCCACTGAGTGGGGGATCTCATTCCTCCTTTTTTAGGATTACTCCCTCAAAGTTAACATGACTATACCACTCATCCTATCTTAAACTTTTCCCAAGTCCGGGTATAGGACTTATGAGTAATCACCAAGCACCGTGAAAACCAAAAAAATCCAAACAAACATATATACAAAATATAACACGTAAACAACAATAACACGTATACAGATATAAACAAAGATAGGCTCAACCCACTTAGGGATGGACCAGCAAGAGGTCAATCTTTCCCCAGTGAAGTCTCTATTTTTCTGTAGCGGTAGAAATATTCAAGACTAAGCCATTGGATTGACTAGACTTTATACAAATCAAAATAAAAATCGTTACCACGCTTTATTGTTTCCAAAGGAACGGGAAAAGAGCGAATAACCCAAAAAATGGGGGAAATGTTCAAGATAAGGGGGTTGGTTATGCAAAGGGAAGGTATTAGCACCCTAAACATCTACGGTACTCCGCATGAACCTCTTTGAAAAATCTGTATATTTTGGCTATAAAATATGTTGTATATAAAATGGATGGTGGAGGTGAGAAAAGAAATATATTTTTTATGATTTTTGCATCTGCCGCGGTTGCGAACATTTAGTGCCTACGTACCACCTTTCGTGCAATAGGGTATTAGGGTACACGTAGTGCCTCTTTTAAAAATTTATAACACAAGTGTGTTGGTTAATTTTATGAGATAAGACATCATCGTCATTGTCCATGTGGAAAACATACTTACTACCCACAATCATGAGAAAGGAGAATTTGCATCATCTCAAAGTGGAGGATATGGCTTGGATTTTAAAATCAACAATGCCTCACTCAACACCCAAGTGGAAACTATCTCACTTCACTACATATTGTAGAAGTATAGTTGTTGCATCACTACAAGGATTGACAAGAGTCTAATCTTTTGAGAAAGATTTTAAAATAAAAAGCCAAAGTGGCAAAAATAGTTTGAAATGAGATTGATTGACTTTTAGTCTTCTCACAAAAATGTCAAGGTATTATTAAGTTGATTGAAATTTATTCATGAAAATGTTTTGAAGATGCATGGACATAAGTCCAAGTTTATTATGAAAATGTTTCAAGTTTAGAAAATAGAAGAGTTTTCAAAAGGAGGGAGAAGATTTTTGAAATTAAAGAAGATGGGAGGAGAAGAAGAGACTATCCTAAAGCATAAGATAAAAGCTAAGGATAAGAACCATCTAACCAACAAGAAGCCAATACTTGACATTATGTGTCAGGATAGAATCCTCATTCTTTGGATTGAAACCAATCAAGTAAAGATACTAGACCTCTTGAGAGAACCAAACTTCAAGTGTATTAAGTCTTCACAAAAATTGGGCAGAGTAACGGTCGTATACGGGTGAATTCCAGATTATAAACATAGAATGTAATCACAAAAACCTGCACACAAAAACAAACAAGCAACCCAATGTCTCGAGGTAAACCTCTAGAACTCCAGACAAAATAATCAGATAGGATCACAACGACTCCAAGATACGCCAAGGTTTCTAATCCTAAGTCCAAGAAAAAGTCCCATGCTCCATAATGCCAAGGATAGTAACCAAATAGTCAAAGTATCATTATATATTTTTTAGGATTTATGTTGATTATTAAGTGTCTTCAAAAAGAAAAGAAAAGCTCAAGTGAGAAAAATAAAAATGACATAAAAGTAAATGCTCAAGTTAGCAAAGATGAAAATAGTATGTAATGTAAAATGCTAAAAGTAAATGGTACATAAAGCATAAAAATAAAAGCATAAAGTAAAGTCAATTGTTAAAAATTAGTGGTTAGTTGGATGACCATCTTGAAACTTACATTTGGACCTCATTGGAGGATTGGTATAACCAAAGCCTCCAGACAACAAGTTGCATTTGCTTTTTGTCAAGTATATCATCCATTTTGGAATCCTCAAAAGTAACATTTAATGATCAACGATGTTTAAGTCAACCACGTTGACCAAAAGTGATGTAGATCTATTAGAGGATTGGTAGAACCAAAGCCTCCACATAATGAATCTCAAGTTTATTGGATCAAAGAGATCAAATTAACATACTTGGGCTTGAAAACATAGGTTTGGGCCGCAAATGATCATTTATTCGAGTCGGGACAAAATTTAGTGATATGTTAAGCACTCGTAAGTGGACTTATGTAGAAGTCGCACCTATTTTGAGGCCGGTCAATATCAATCTACGTACTTCATGTTTGAATAAATGATATAGAGATCATCACCCCTTAACATGTAGCACAATTAAAAAAGAAAGGGATAAGATGAAGAGGGAGGGGAATGATAAACTAATTAGGATTACCACCTCAAAATTCTTTCATCTTGAAATTCAACCACTCCTCTAGATGGATTAAAGCACTAAACATATCATTAATTCAAAGCACCAAAAATGAATTAAATAATTCACTCTTAGGTAGATTTGACTTGATGAACATTTATCCAACTTCATCTACATCACAAAGTCCATTGAATTTAAAGAAAAATTGGACATTTAAAAATTGTAATCCAAATTATCCATCAAAGAGAGAGAGCAGAAAAAATATTTGAGTCAAAATAGCCCCAAAATAAGGCATAAAAAGTATTTTTGACACTGCTATAAATGATTGTGCTTAGATAGCAACCAATTACTTCAGTGCAATTTTTTTTCAAATCAATTTTCTGTGACAATCGATTGCAATGTTACAACAATTGATTGCAACCTGTTAAAATCAGTAGAAAACAACATTTCAAGGATCAAATTCTTGTTCCAACTTTTCATCAAACACCTTATGATCATGGATCCAATTGAGCATGAAAATTCTATCAAATTATGAGAAAATAGCACTAATGGAATCATAAAACAATGCTCAATGAATCTAAACCAGAAATCCACAAGAGATCACATTGTGAAAGATGATGATCCAACTTATGAAAGGTAGAATTAGAGAATTATCAAACAACTTTCAGAATTTACTTCAATTCAACCACATGAATCAATTACCAAAGCTTGGATGTAGAGAATTGATGAAGACAAAGTGTTTGGATGAAGGTTTAGCTCAAAGATTAGTAAGCTTCAATGCAAAGCTTACTATCCTTTTTTTTTAAATGAAGCTTTGAGTGAATTTGGTAGATGGAGAGATTTGAGAGATTTTTTAGCAAAATGAGTTTGGTTATCAAAAGTTTATGATTTGAATGAAATGAGGTCTCTATTTATAGAGTTTAGGATTAGGATTAGTGGTAATTTGGTAATTGATCCTTGGAGCCAAAAATTGAGTTAATGATATAATTTTTAAATTATGCAGAAAAATTAGAGCCAAAAAGATGATAGTTTTGAAATTGCTGGCTTTTTTCAAAAATCACGTGTGTTTTGCTGCTATGAGTCGACACAAGAGTCGTATGCGTCGACACATTCTAGTTGTATAACACAGCATGAGTCGACGCAAGCTTCTATGGATCGATACAAGCTGTATTTTCAACTCAATACATAATCAATTAATTTTTATGAGTCGACGCAAGCTTCTATGGGTCGATACAAGCTGCTATTTCAACACAATACATAATCAATCAATTTGTATGAGTCGACACACAACATGTATGTGTCGACACATGCTAGTTATACAAACCAGGATGAGTCGACACAAGCCTCTATGGGTCGATGCAAGCTGCTTTTGTCAGCACATTAAAGAATTGATTGTCTTGCATGGGTCGACACATAACACGTATGTGTCGACACATACCAAAAAATTTTGATTTTTGACGGCTAAAAATACACTTTTTCAAACATTGTGCACAATATACTTTGTGCAATCGATTGCATTATGGGAGCAATCGATTGTACAAGAAAACAAAAAAATTTAATTATTATTATTTTTCTTTGCAAATAGAGATTTTAGGGAAATAATACCGGAAAACCTTATTTGTCGGATGTTTTGACTCGGTACCTACAAAACACAAATATGCAAAGGCAAAGACAAATATTTTTTGTATTTTGGTTAGAGGTTAATTATCAACGTATATACAAAATACACAACTAAGGTGCTCGGAGATTCCTCAAGAGCAAACATAAAGACAGGAGATAGAAAAAGAGGAAGAACCAACCCTAATGTGATTTTGTAATGATCAAGTTGACATGATATGATAG